GGTTCCACCCCTAGCACTGGGGGGGAAAAAAAAATCCCCGAGAGCATTCCTGTCTATAGCTATGCTTTCCAAAATCAATTCAGATTCCTTCATGATTTTTTGCATATTCCTACAACATACAAGAGTATACTCTTATATTAGTTTTCAATGAATCTACTTTTTTTAATTAGCCACATATTAACAATATCCCAAAATCACAGTATGATTTGTTTTCTCAAAAATATGAAAAGCTGGGCACGGCGGCACACACCTGTAATCCCAGCAGCTTGGGAGGCTGAGGCAGGAGGATCACAAGTTCAAAGACAACCTCAGTAATGGCAAGGCACTGAGCAACTCAGTGAGACCCTGTCTCTAAATTAAATACAAAATAGGGTTGGGGATGCAGCTCAATGGTCGAGTACCCCTGAGTTCAATCTCTGGTACCAAAAACAAATAATTAAACTAAATTAAATTAAATTAAATATAAAAAGCATATCAGGCCTGGGGCGTAGCTCAGTGGTAGAGGTAGAGCATTTACCTAGCATGCATGAGACCCTGGGTTCAATCCCCAACACAGGAAAAAAAACTGCAATGCGTTCATGTGCCACCCAAGAGATAAAAATCCAAGCACATCAACTTTGTCTTCCATAATTCAGCTTCTACCTATATTCCCAACCCCACCTCCAGCCATACCAAACCACTTCAAATTTCTGAACAACCTGCGTTCTCTCAGGACTACACACTATTGTTTATGGTATTTTTTTCTGCTCACATGTTCTTTCCTTCTTGTTTTTTCTACTTGAACTCTTTACTGATTATCATATACAAGTCAATGTTCTAAAACTGGAAAATACACAAGAAATGGTTCTGTTCCTCAAGAATCTTGCCATCAAATAACAGACATGCATGCTATCATACAAGGCAGAACACTGTAAATGGTAAAATGGAGCAGTAAAGTGCCATGGAGCAAAGCAATGTCCGTTTAGAAAATAAAGAACAGAGCTGGGTGTAGTGGCACATATCTGTAACCCCAGTGGCTGGGGAAGCTAAGGCAGGAAGAATTTCAAAGCCAGCCTCAACAATTTAGTGAGGCCTTAAGCAACTTAACAAGACCCTTTCTCAGAATAAAACATAAAAAACGGGCTGGGAATGTTGCACAGTGAGAAAGCACCTCTGAATTCAATCCCCAGTACAAAAAAAAGTTGGAAATGATTTTTTTATTTGTTTTTTTCACGACCAGGGACTGAACCCAAGGGTGATCTACCACTGAGCTAGATTACCCAGCCCTTTTTAGTTTTTATTGAGATAAGCCTTACTAATTAGCCAAGGCTGACCTCAAATTTGTCATCCTCCTGCTTCAGCCTCCCAAGTTGCTGGGATTATAGGCCTGTGTCAATGTACTCAAAGATAAAAACATTTTTTAAATTAAAAAAAAAAAAAAAGCTACTCAAGAGACTGACAGGAGGATGGCAATGTTTAAAAATAAAAAAGGCTGGGGATATCACTAAGTGGTAAAACACCCCTGGGTTGAATTCCAAGAAAAACACACACACACACACACACACACACACACACACATACAAAGATAAAAAACAAAACTGAAAAATGGCTCAGACTAAACATAAAGTGAGTTCCAAAAAAGATCCCATTGTAATGCATAAAAGTTGTTACTATGGAATTATACAATTATTTATGTTTCAGCCTTGAGAGAGATTCTAGTATTTTCCCAGTCTCATCTATAATAAATGTCTTCAGCTTTTCAGTTAAAAAAAAAAAAAGAAAAAAAAGGGCCAGGGTTGTGGCTCAGTGGTAGAGTGCTTACCAAGCATACATGAGGCACTGGGTTGGATCCCAGCACCACATAAAAATAAACAAAATAAAGGGAATGTGTCCATCTACAACTAAAAAATTTGTTTAAAAACTGAACAGTAGTTCACTATGCAATTCTTTACTTACATGTCTCCTTTAAAAACTGTCCAACAGATCAGAACATTTTCAAGTTATAGAACTTCTCCTCCAAAACTCCATAGGTTTAAGGCTGAGGTGTAGCTCAATGGCAGAGCACTCCCCCGAAATAAAGGGAAAAATACTACCAAAATTCTTAAGTTTAAGTATTCAACAAATCTGCCTTTTACCATTCATTATTTTACTTTGCCAGGTATGAAATCTGTAACTTCTACGGTATTCTCTAAAATCTTTCTTGTGGATGAGAATCAAATGAGTTCTCTACAAAAGAGGTTACACTGCTGTCTATTTGTTTATATACTTCATTCTTATTCCTTTAAAGCAGGTAGATTCCATTTGGTACTAGTGATTTGACCATTTCCAATTCAGCTATTGAGAAACTGTGATTAGATCTAGAAATATATATTTATTATTTGACCTAGTACCGCCAACATCTGATCAATTTAAAACATAGCAAATTTCTGACTTCTTTTCTACCAGGAAAAAAAATCTTTTCCATCATGTTCATTAAGTGGCCCCAATTACATTTCTTCCTCTGATAGAATCTTTTATTTTGGCTTTAAAGCCTCAGAAAAGGTACTCCTGCAATACTTTCTTGGCCTACCTATTTTTAGTTTGCACTAATGCCAAGAAACAGAAACAAAATTAAATGTCTTTAAATACACCAAGCAGCACAAGAAAATTAATCTGATAAAAACATTTCCAGGACAGAAGAAATGTCTCTACTTGCAAAGAAAAATCCAGAATTCTTTTCTTAGTAGCTACAAAAGGTTGGGGGAAGAAAGGTTTATTAAACAGATAAAAGCTAAATACAGTCCAATTGTGTTTCAACAGGAAATAAAATGGTTTAATAATTATATTTCCTTAAGGTAGGAAGGAAATGTAATGTTGGTCAAACTGAGAAGTCTACAGAAAAATCTCACTGATTGTTTTTCAAATTGTTTCAGGGTCCAATGTCAAGTCAATATCAAAATACATGCCAGGTCCAATGGGATAGGCCTGTAATGCCAGCAACAGAAGAGGCTGGAGCAGGAAGGTCATAAATTCAAGGCCAGCCTCAGCAACTTAGGAAGACAATCTCAAAATAAAAAATATAAAGAGCTGGGAATGGCTCGGGAGGCTGAGGCAGGAGGATCACAAGTTCAAAGCCAACCTCAGCAAAAGCAAGATGCTAAGCAACTCACTGAGATCCTGTCTCTAATTAAAAAAAAAAAAAAAAAAAGCTGGGGATTTAGCTCAGTATTAGAGCACCCCTGAGTTTAATCCCCAGTTCTGGGAGGTAGGGGGGATGAAGATACATTTTCATAATAAAAAAAAGAACACTTTACATTAATTATAAACAAAGCATAAAACAACTTTATAATACTACATACTAAAAAGAAAAAAAATTCCAGTGAATTCACTAACATGCAATGATTGAGTGCACTTATGGCATCAAAAACAAAACAATGCCATCAAAAGAGGTGTGGTTAGTTTTTCATTAATTAGGTCTCATGGTTAGTTGTGTTGTTTCCTAAGAAAGCACAAAACAGAAGCCACAAACTGATGAACTTGGATGAATATGAATGCTGCATTACTTCTAGTAAAAGTTTTCTCCTTAGTTAAATCATTGTATTAAAAATGGAAAAATGCACACGAATGACTCCCCTATTAACAGATATAGTTAACACGTAAGTGCAATTCAGTTACATTCATTCACAACAGCATATGGGACCTTAACGTTTCTCATACTTGTTGACTGATGTTAAATATCAAACTTCTATACCAAAGGAGAATGGGGGAAGGGGGAGAACACAGTAAAATCTTCCTTGAGAGAAACAATTCACTGACAAGTAACTTTTTTCTTGAAAAATAAATTGTTTTATATCCATAGCTTATAAGCATAAGACGAACTCAAGTTATCAACAGTCTACCCATTTACCATATATCAAAAACAAAAGTTAACTGAACAAATAAAACAGACACTAGCACTAGCGGATAAACACTATAGGGAACCTAAATACTGGTTTTACCCAAAACACAGAAACATTTCAAAAAAACAGTATACCACTTACACTCCTCTATCTTTACTTTCATTCCTTTGCCCGCATCTTTGTCTTCCTTGGACTCGGTAGTAACGAGGAATAAGTTCCCTCCTTTAGAGAACCAATAAAACTAAATCTTGAGTTAAGAGGTTATTGGGTGGGTGGGTGGGGGGACAACTTAAAGGACTCATTGCCGACTGACTATTCACTGAAATAAGCTCAATAACGTGCTCGGAAACCGGATTCATGCTGAAGTACGAACGCACTCGCTCAAAAAAGGCGACGTGAAAGAGTGGTAAGTTAAAAGAGGCAACCTAACATTCTGTCACATCATTGCCACACTGCTGCGGTCCACCCCTTCCCACTCCTCAGGAACCCACGGGCGGTACGCCTGTCAGATGCCGGCCTCCCGCGCCGCTGTCACCTCTGGTGGGGAAGACCCTCTCCCGGCTCACCACCCCCCGGGCTCGCCTCCAACTCGGCGGACCCGGGCGTGCGTCTGGAGGACAAGTCCTTTAAGCAAAGCAGCTGGGACAGTCCGAAGGCCAGAAGAGGCGACCCCGGGGCAGAGGCCGCGACATCCCTCGGGATCGCAGCCAAGGGAACCAGGACAGCATTCGCGGGACTCCGGCTTCCCCGGCTCTCCGCGTGACGCCAAGGTGGACCGCATCATCAGGCACCGCGGAGGGCCCTCCACTGCGACCCGCCGGTACACCCGGCAGGGGTCCCGCGGAGAGGAAGGGCGGGCCGGCGGACGCCCCGCAGCCGGAAGGGGCGAGCCCCGCAAGTGGGTCTCCCTCCGGTCGGGCTCACCTTCAGGTCGTTCTCCGGCAGGTACTTGCACAGCCGCGCTATCTCCACATACTTGTCCAGATCTAGCGGCGCCATTTTAGGAATCACAAGCCGCGGCAGCGGCGGCGGCGGCGCTGGAGTAGCGGAGGCAGCGGCGGAGGCCGAAGCCGGAACTCTCCCTACGTCACGTCCGGCCCGTGAGTGGCGTACGCGCAGCGACGTCAGAGCCTGGCGGATTCTCCGGGCAGCTTCGGGCTACCTGGTGCCCAGGCTGGCTGAACACCGGTCACAAGCCCTAAGGGACCCCGAAGATCCGGCCAGAGACACCGACTGGGACGCGTAGTTGTCTACCGCTGGGCGAGCCGAGATTTGTAGTTTTCAAGTGTAGCCAACTATTCTTTTTCTTCCCCTTCCCTTCCTTGTGACTCTTCCTAGGGGAACCGGCGGGACCTTTCCGAGGCAAAACGGCGAAGTGGGTGACTCTAGGCATTCACTCGTTTCTCATGCCGACCCTGTTAAGCACTCTCCCACCAGAACATCTTCAGTTAAAAATCGGGTAAGCTTGACTATAGCAACCCGTTTGCACCTTCCAAGGCCTTGTGAAGACCTCGCCTAGACCTGTGGCACAGATGTCACTCTCCCGTCCTCCGAACAGGAAGGAAGGGAAACCAATATTAAACTGTTTCTTACACTAAATGCTATACAGAGGCTATTTTTCCCCCCACTTAATCCGCATAAGGACTGGTGAAACTGCGAGGCCCAGAAGTTAAACTTGCCCAAAATCTCATAGGAAAGAAACGGTGGAGCCAAGATTGGAAAATAGGCTACTGACTTAAGCGTACTCCCGTAGGAGTTCTACAAAGGCTGGAAGTTTTTTTGTTGTTGTTGTTGATCCCCAATGCCAAGAACAGTACCTGGCACTTAGTGTACCCTTTACGCTGGTTTATTCTATGGAGCACCAACTATGTACCATTGCAGTTGTAGACACTTGAGTAATTCAGTGAACACGGAAAACAAAAATCTTTATCCTCATCCTGTAGTTTATAGAAGACAGAATATAAATAATAATAGATTACTTATTGTGTTAAAAAGTGATATGTGATAGAAGAGGGAAAAAAACAGTAGGATAAAGAGATGGGGAGGGGAGGGGAGGGGAGGGGGGATAGTAGAGGATAGGAAAGGCAGTAGAATACAACAGACACTAGTATGGCAATATGTAAATCAGTGGATGTATAACCGATGTGATTCTGCAATCTGTATAGGGGGTAAAAATGGGAGTTCATAACCCACTTGAATCAAAGTGTGAAATATGATATGTCAAGAACTTTGTAATGTTTTGAACAACCAACAATAAAAATTAAAAAAAAAAAAAAAAAGAGAGAGAGAGATGGGGTAATGAGCGTTTTTAAGAAACAAAGAAGCTGGGTGAGGTGGTGCTTGCCTATAATCCCAGCAGCTGGGGAGGCTGAGACAGGAGTTCAAAGCCAGCCTCATCAACAGCCAGGCGCTAAGCAACTCAATGAGACCCTGTCTCTAAATAAAATACAAAATAGAGCTGGGAATTTGGCTCAGTGGTTGAGTGCCCATGAATTCAGAAAAAAAAAGAAAAACAACAAAGAAATGGGGGGGTTAGCTATGCAGATACCTGGGAGAAGTCATATAGAAGAGCTGATTTTTTTTTTTTAACTTTTGATGTTAAAGGAAATTAAGGAGTAAAATTATCTGACTTTTTAAATAAGGATCACTCTGGCTGCTGTATGAGACTACAAGAGGGCAATGGTTGCAACTGAGATATTAGAAGACTTATATAACCTATAGTAGCAAGTGCATCATCAATATTTGTTGTTTAAGAGACAGGACTGGGGCTGGGGATGTGGCTCAAGCAGTAGCACGCTCACCTGGCATACGTGCGGCCAGGGTTCCATCCTCAGCACCACATACAAAGATGTTGTGTCCGCCAAAAACTAAAAAATAGTAATCCCAGTAAGGAAGGAGAATCACAAGTTCAAAGCGACCTCAACAATTGATAAGACTCTGTCTCAAAATAAAAAGGACTAGGGATGTAGCTAAGTGGTAAAGCACCCCTAAATTCAATCCCCAGTACAAGAAGAGAGTGATCCTGGACTGAATCCTCTTGCTCTAGAGTATATTTTGGGGACAATGGGATAAACTTTTCCCCACTGTGGTGGTGCCAGAGCTCAAACCCAGGACCTCCTACATGCTAGGCAAGCTCTCTACCACTGAACTACTATACCTCTAACCTCGATAAAATTTAAAAAAATTTTTTTCTTATTACAGGGAATTGAACCCAGGGCACTTAGCCACCGAACCACATCCCCAGCCCATTTTTATTTGTATTTGTGTTGTTGTTGTTGTTGTTGTTTTGTTTTTTTAGATAGGATCTTGCTAAGTTACTTAAATCCTCACCACATTGCTGACCCTGGCTTGGAACTTGTGATCTTCCTGTCTCAGCCTCCTGAGTCACTGGGATTACAAGCATGTGCCACTGCACCCGTCTCATTGGAATAAATTTTAATGAGAAGACTGGCAGGGTGGCACATGCCTGTAATCCCAGTGGCACTAAATGATTAGAGTTCAAATCCAGGCTCTACTACTTACTGTGTGATTTTGAGCAAGTTATTTATCCTTTTGAGATATGTAGATATCTGGGGGAAGTCATATGGAAGAGCTGAAGTCATATGGAAGAGTTTTCTCAGTTGCAATATGTCAACAATAAAAATAGTGCCCACATCATAGTGAGATAAAAATAATACCTCATAGGCTTGTGCTGAAGTTTAAAACGTAAATACACGAAAGTGACTTAAATAACATCTAGCACAGAGTAAAGCCTGTATAATTGTTAGCACTAAGTATTGGGTGGACAAGAAAGATCTTTCTGAAGAGTTAACTATTTGAGAGTTGCAAAAAATAAAATAGTATACTTTCTTTGGGAAAAATCGCAAATGGGGAAAAGATGCTATTGTTAGTTGGTCTTTTTATTGCAATCTTCTTAGGAAAGCTGGTGATTCACATTTCATCCCTGAACCTTAATAATTGGGAATAAATTATACTCAAGATACCTTCTTAAAAGTGGAAAAGAAGACAAAAAGTGAGATGAATATGAGCTTTTATATAAACTGTGAAGTGCTTAAAAGGAAGGTGTCACCTGCATTCATTGCTGATAAGTCAGTGAATGGATCAGTGGTGTGCCCTCTGGTGAAAAGAAGTGGCAGTGCTTTACCAAACTGACCACAAGAAGCCCCTATTGCAGACCCACCTCATAGAGTGAAACTTACTCTTCGTGTCCACAGCAGAGAGGAGGAAAGCATCCCTCAGAGTGTTGGGCATGTTCTTAGGAAAGATAAGACATACTGAATGATTTGGGTCTGAAAGAGTACACAGTTCAATGACTGGAAAGTGTTCTTTGTCTTCCTTCCACAGAGCAGAGGATCTGGTCTCCCAGTTCTGTCATTTACGTGGGTAAGTGATTTTTACTTCTTTAGGCCTTGAATCCCATTTTAGTGTTTTATTTTATTTGGTACTGGGGATTGAACCCAGGGGCACTTAACTACCTAATTACATCCCCATCCCTTTTCATTTTTTATTTTGAGACAGGGTTTCTTGCTGAGTTGCTTAAGGCCTCACTAATTGGCTGAGGCTGGCTTTGGACTTTCAATCCTCCTGCCTCCACCTCCCAAGTCACTGGTATTACTTGTGTGCACCCCCATGCCTACATGACTCCCATTTAAAAAATAAATTTCAAATGTTCCTTCCAGAATTCTCAAATGTGATTTCTAGTCCAGAACCATAGGTTCCACAGTAAAAAGTGGTTGTTATTTTGTTGTTGTTGTTTATATTTTGGTACTAGGGATTGAACCCAAGGGCACTTTACCACTGAGCTTTATCCCCAAGCCTTGTTTTTTGTTTTGTTTTGTTTTTTGTTTTTTTGTTTTTGAGTCAGGGTCTCACTAAATTGCTCAGGGCCTCACTAAATTGCTGAAGTTTGCTTTGAACTTGCAATCCTCCTGCCAGGGCCTCCTGAGTCATGGGATTATAGGCATGAACCACCTCACCTGACTAGTTGTTGTTTTGCTCACAGACCTTTTCTGATTTTTTGTTTGTTTGTTAACATATGACACTTCATGCCATATCCAGCATGGAGCCTTGAAGTAGACCTAGTCAAAAGACCCACGAGACTTAAGAGTATTCTACAGTTCTGAGCAGAAATCACTATCTAGATGTGTGTGGACATAAGGTAGAGCAAACCTGGCCTTAGTTTTCTTTCCTGAAGAGGAACAGAATGACTGTGTATCCATAAACTCCTCTTTGACAGTGAGTGGGGATTTCGCCATTAACAAGGAATTCACGAAAACTCTATAGGTGTTAGAAATAGTATCATGAAGCAGTTAGGAGAGCTGCAGCCTTCAAATTCCATTTTGTCCATAATTTGATTATGCTTCAAGTAGCTAAAACATTTACCAAGATGGCTTTTCACCTGTATTATGGAGTCCTCTTGACCCCTGTATCTGCACAGTAGGCATTATTATCCCTATCATTATAGATGAGGGAACTAGGGTTCAAGAAGGCTAATGAACTTGCCCAGTGTGAGAGTCTGATGGTTCTTGATAGAGCCTGGATTTGAACACAAGTAATTCTGACTTCTTTCCACTAAGCTACCATAGTGCTATAGTCCTGGAGTTCCTACTTTTCCAGTCTTAGCCATTTTCTCTGGTTCCTAGGATACAACACTGTTGCTCAGCGTGTGATTCTCTAAATCAGACATAGGTGAGCCACCCTTTCAGGAAGGTCACAAAGAACCTATAATTAGGATGTGAATCTGAGATAATGCAGGGGCTGAACGTATAGCTCAGTGGTAGAGTGCTTGCCTAGCATGCACAGGCCCTGAGTTTGATCCCTAGCTCTGCAAAAAAGACAGAAATAAGATAAGGTTGCATGTGGTTTCAGTGTGACTAGTGAGGTCTAACTGGTTAGCCCAGCCCTAAATTAAAACATAAAAAGCTAATAATGGGTGGCTGTAATTCCAGTGACTAGAGAAGCTGAGGCAGGAGAAAGGCAAGTTCAAAGCTAGCCTGGACACTTTGGCAAGACTATGTTTTAAAATAAAAAATAAAAAGGACTGGGGATGCCCTGGGGTTGTAGCTCAGGGTTAGAGCACTTGCCTAGCATGTGTGAGACACAGGGTTCAATTCTTAGCACCACATATAAAATCAAGGTCTATCAACAACTAAAAATATTTTTTTAAAGGTTGGGAGTATAACTTCCTGGATTCAATGCCCAGTGTAAAAAATTAATTAAAATTATAATTTAAAAATGCAGATGTGCATACCTACCCACAGTAGTTCATGTATAACCACAAAGAGCTTTATCCCTTCACAGAGGACCTGCTCTGTGCCAGCACCTGGGTGCTGAGCACTTTACATTATCTCCTGTACTTCCAACGACTACTGTCACAGAAATATGATTGGCTCCATGTTAAAGATGGAGGACACTGAGGCCCAGAATAAGTCACTTCTCGAGAAGTGATGAGCTTTTTATTCCCTGCATTTTTTTTTTTAGTTGTGGATGGACACAATACCTTTATTTTGTTTATTATTTTTTATGTGGTGCTGAGGATCGAACTATATCGATCACACGTGCAAGGCAAGTGCTCTGCCACTGAGCCCCAGCCCCTCCCTTCATTCTTTACAATCATTCCTGTTTCTCCATTTTCAAGTTAGACTATAAAGTCCTAGAGGCCAGGGCATGTTGTCCGGAGCATGCTATAATTCAAATGGCAATTACAGAATGAGTCAGCTATTTAAGGCACCAAACTTGAACTGGTCTTGAGGACAGACCAGCTGCCCAAGTGGACATCCAACGCCGGGCATTTCGCTTGTATGTCGTTTCCAAGTAACCCTGGCTTATTTTCTCCGCTGGGGAGGGAGGACTTCAGGGAAAGCCCGGCCTGTTCCTGCTGGAGGACTTCGGGGTCCCGAGCGTTCCCTCTACGCCCCTTCCCAGGCAGCTGACAGCCCAAGTCGGAAAGCTGTTGGAAGCTGTTGGCCCCGACGCGCTTCCGGGGCCTGTGGGGAGGGGCAATGGACTGAGTCCCGCCCCCTTCAGGGGCGGAGCCACGGATAGGGACTGGCCTGAGCTGCCGCAGGTAAAGTAGTCCTGAACCTGGGGAATCTCTGGGGGGAGGGCGAAGGGCGTATCTTTTACCTTGGAGTGGACACCAGTTTCCGACCCGGCCACCAGCATTTCTCTCCTCGCCCTGTCTCTTGTACCCTAGAGTTCCCACAACGGGATGGGACTCCGCGAGGGAGCTAGCAGGGGCGGCTGGGAGAGGTCCCTGCTCATGCAAAGCCCACCCACTGAGCTTTAGGCTCTGGGGCTATAGTCAGTGTCCTAGGCCTCAGTTCGTTTTTATCATTTTATCTCTTCATTAATCCATTTCCTTTCTTCATTCACTCATCCTTCACTCCCTTCTACTCTATTCCAGGTCCATTGGTAAATTCTCAGAACAAATTGTACTGGCCCAGCACTCCAGGAATTTAATCTAGAATTGAATTTAGAGACTTTTAAATAGATACTTAGACCAAGAATAATCCCTGCAATGATAGCTTAATAAAAAATGTCAGCCCTCAGGTAGAAGGAAATAATTTGGGGGAGTAGAAGTGAAAAGCAAAAAAAAAAAAAAAAAGAGAGAGAGAGAGAGAGAGAGAGCTTTTCTTGAAGGAATATTTGAGCTGGGCTTTAGAGGCTGACTAGGAGTTTGCAAGTTTACAAGAAGGGAAAGGACATTCCAAGTAGGGAAAGCTGCTTGGGCTGCAAGTCATAAAACGACCTGCCATATAATAGGAGCAACAAAAAGCCCAGTATTGCAAGACATTGTGGAAGTCACTTTGCAGAAAATCAGTTAACACCAGAAGGCCTGACCTTCTGTCATGATGAGGCCAAGATTTATCCCAGAGTTCAATATTTCTCAGACTCTTAGGATGTTTTATTTTTTGATAAACACAAACATCTTAAAAACTCTAAAATTTTGGCATATGCCCCTTCCCCATGAGAATCACAGGACACATAGAAAACTTTAGCAAAAACAAAAACAAAAACATATAGTTATATTAAGAAAGTTATGTTAAGGTTGGGTGGTGTAGCTCAAAGGTAGAGGACTCACCTAACAATACACTAGGTCAAGGTTCAACCCCTAGCACTAAAAAAAAGAAAAATATTATATGAAAAGTTTCGTGATTCATATTCAGATTAATCAGGCCTTAGACATTGGTACATTCAACAGGAAAGTTTTGTTTGTTTGTTTGTTTGTTTTGTGGTACTGGGGATCCTAGGCAAGCACTCAACCACTGAACCATATCCCCAACCCCTCAACAGGAGAGGTTTTAAAGGGGAGGGTAACCTGATTTGTTCTGTGTTTTATGAAGAAGATAATCGTAAATATCTAAAAGTGTCTTTTATTCTTATGCGTAGGACACCATGAAGCAGCTGCCAGTCTTGGAGCCTGGAGACAAACCCAGGAAAGCAACATGGTCTGTAAAAGAGGATTCACTCACATGTGCATGCACACACACACACACACACACACACAGAAGCTTTTGTTTCATTTATAAATAGTTTACTAATGTATTTGGTCATCAGTGAAAAAGAGTAGAGATGAAACTGTCTGCAATTTCTGGTAATTAGACTCCAACTGTCTGAGAAGGTCTCCAGAGGAAAGATGAGGGGGCAATAATTATCACAGAGCAGATGTTAATTTTATTAAAATCCTTTACCAAGAAGAGTAAGGCACTGACCATCTGGCATCCTCAACTCCAATGTGGTGTCTCCCCCCGAGCTGTGACTCATTTTTAAAATTTTTAGGGAATTGAATTTGCATTCAAATTCACTGGCTTCACTGTTTCTTAGATGTTTGTTCAACCAACCCTTCATTCTATAATACTGTTCTGACAGAAGCAGCTGCTGTGGAGGGTCTGGAGGTCCAAAGATCAACAGTCTCTGTGTAGTAGGGCCTCTAGACTAAGCAGGTCTTGGTGATAGCATGTGATCAGTGCTGAGGCAGGGTCAAAGAAAGCTGCATAGAAGTGGCAGTGTTTCCACGGACCTTGAAGGAGAACCTCCTATGGCTCCCCTGTTTCCATCCTGTTGGGTACCTAACACATATCTGATCATGGCATTCTCTAGCTTAAAACCCTTTTGAGGGCTGGGGGTGGACCCCAATGGTAGAGTATTTACCTAGCATGTGCAAGATCCTGAGTTCCATTCTTAGCACTAGAAAAGAAAAATTGACAGACTCCTTATACTCTCCCACTGGTCCCTGCATAATTCTATTTCTGCCTTTCCTTCCAACTTCAAATATCCTTACCTATTTTTTTGCTCTCTCTTCGTTTAGCATTGTCTTCAGTGTCCCACTCAGGTCCTGTACATGCTAGTTCCTCCACCTGGACCTCTCCTTCCCTTCAACTTTCATCTCTCTTTCCCCAGCTAATTTCTACTCCTACTTCACATCTCAGTTCAAATGTTCCTTCTTCAGGAAGCTGCCTCTGACCGCTCCACCCCCACCTCTCTTTACAGGGTGAAGCCCTCCTGTGGTACATTCCCATTTTATTTGTCTTGTGTTAGACAAATAGCTAGTCCTGTCCTGAAATAGATATTTGTGAACTTATTTAATGTTTCTTCCCAACTAGTTTGTAAGGGCTTTGAGGCCTTGTATTATTAACCATCTATCTAGGTATGTTTGTGTTCTTAGGTAAGTTATTAATCTTTGGGCTTTTCTAAGCCTCAGTTCCTCGGTTGTAAAACTCAAATGATGATAATAGTACTGATCCTCAAATTGCTTCTATGCAGATGAAATGAAACCAGGGTTGTAATGTCAGCACATTGTCAGAGTTGTGTGTGTGGCACATTATTAGTAACTATCCAGGTGGTAATGGGGTATGCAGATCTGGAAGTCAGAAGAGATCTGAATATGAAGTAGAGATTTGGAAATCATGGATGATGATAGAGATGGTGGTAATTGAAGCAAACATAAACTGAGAAAAAGAGAATTCTGAGGATACTGAGAGTTAGGAGGAGGCTGTCAGGAAAGAAATCAGAGAAGGAAACAGAAAAGTGAATGGAGATTCAAAAGGTAGAGGTATGGTGAAGCAAGATTAGGGGAAAGGTAAAAGGAGGAGGGGAGGGTTGGGAATACCAGACATCAGAGATGTCAATAAAACATGGCCTAAAAAACAGCTAGGGAATTTTCTTTTCTTTTTTAATATATATATATTTTTTAGTTGTCAATGGACTTTTATTTTGTTTATTTATATGTGGTGCTGAGAATCAAATCCAGTACCTCACACATGCTAGGCAAGCGCTCTACAACTGAGCCACAATCCCAGCCCGGGGAATTTTCTTTTCTAAGCATGAAACTTTAAAATGTGTTTTCTCAGTTAGCATTCAGAATAACTTTAGAGAATGGAATGACTGGATCCTGTATGCAATTTTCCAAGTCTTAGCTTTGGCTTGCATCAGGTTGAGCTTTATGAGTAATCTGGAAAGGCTCTTAAAATCCACAAATCCTAGAAAACTTTTCTGGACAGGGAGACATCACTGGTTAGTAGCAAGAACCTGAGTCTGTAGGCATCCCCATGAAGGCACCCTTTAACAAGACCCTTCCTACACTGCTACTGGCTTTGAGTCTTCACAACCACCTTTTGAGGTAAGACCTGTTGCTCTCCTTGTTTTACAAATGAAGAAAGTGAAGTTCGGAAGGGTTAAGTGACTTCCAGGTCGTACATCTAGAAAGTACTGGAGCTGAGACTAGAACCAGGTCTGTCCAAATTCACAAACCGCGTTTATAACCACTAACTATGCTGTTGTGTCAAGACATAACAGTGAACATTTCTGGATGTCATTTCCCTGTCCACCATATGGGGTCATTACCAGCCCAGTGCATCTCCCTTAGGTTATATAAGGTGGAAGTAGTGACAAAATTGAAAAACCAAAGCTGTGAACATAGGAAGATACTCCTGTTGATCAGGGAAGTGCTGTTTTGCTGGATACAGTTAAAGTGTCTGTGTATGTATCAGGTCCTTCCTTCTGTGAATGCTTCATGAGCAATGAAAAGAACACACCCCTACACTTGTTCTGTGCTTAGGTCTCCTGAATACATCCTCCCTTTGGCAGGTACACCTTGACTCCCCCTGGAGACAGCCCCTGTGCTCGAGTTGGCCACAGTTGCTCATATTTACCCCCAGTTGGTGATGCCAAGAGAGGGAAGGTTGTCATTGTTGGAGGAGCAAATCCAAACAGAAGCTTCTCTGATGTGTACACCATGAATCTGGGTAAGATCAATAGCTGCAGAATGCAACTGGCTTTTGCTGCCAGGTGTGAGCAGAGCATTCTTCAGAATACCAGCTCCAACCAGATAGCAGGAAAAAAAGTGCATCATTGACAGGTTTCAGCAGATTGGCACATATTCACCTGACCAGTGCCTCCTTGTTTAGGGGGACAGACCTCCTATGGGCCCATATGGAGCCCAGGACATCCAATCACTGATTCATCAAATATTTCTCCAGGAGACATCAGTGACTCCCACCTCTCCTTCCATTCACATATTCAAAGAATCTTTGGGTCACAAATATCTCCGATCTTTATCCATGTTGGTCCATTCTCACTACTACCACTGTAGTCCAAACCACTGTTACCTCTCAACTAGACTGTTGGAATCACCTCCTCACTGGTCTCCCTGTCTCCAAGTTTACCCACTGTACAGTGCATTTTCTTTTTTTTTTTTAATTTTATTTTTTAGTTTTTTAGATGGACACAATATCTTTATTTTACATTCATGTGGTGCTAAGGATAGAACCAAGTGCCTTGTGCATGCTAGGCGAGAACTCTACCACTAAACCACAACCCCAGCCCAGTTTTCTTTTAATATTTTTGTAGTTGTAGATGGACAGACTGCCTTTATTTTATTTGTCTTTATTATTTTTTTTTAATGTGGTGCTGAAGATTGAACCCTGTGCCTCATGCATGCTAGGCAAGCGCTCTGCCACTAAGCTACAGCCCCAGCCCTTTTTTTTTTTTTTTTTTTTTTCTTTTGTGGCACTAGGGATTGAACCTAGGGTCTTGTGCATGCAAGGCAATCACTCTACCAACTGAGATATATCCCCAGCCTGGTTACAGTGCATTTTCTAGACCTAGCCAGAGAATGTTGTCTTAGATACAAGTCCAATTCCCTTTCTTTCTTTCTTTATAGTTGTAGATGGACAGAATGCCTTTATTTTATATGTATATTTTTTTAATATTTATTTTTTTAGGTGTAGATGGACACAACACAATGCCTTTATTTTTATGTGGTGCTGAGGCTCGAACCCGGGTCCTGCACGTGCTAGGCAATCGCTCTACCGCTGAGCCACAATCCCAGCCCAGAATGCCTTTATTTTATTTGTTTATTTTTATGTGGGCTAAGCATCAAACCCCTTACCTCACACATGCTAGGCAAGTGCTCTGCCACTGAGCTACAGCCTCAGCCCCATCAGTCTCCTTTTTAAGCCTTTCCCAACCTCATTTATTGGCTCTCACCAACCCACATTTGCTACACTGAATAGCCTTCATTTCCTTGAAAAAAAATATATATTTTTTTTTAGTTGTAGTTGGACACAATATCTTTTATTTATTTTTATGTGGTGCTGAGGGTCAAACCCAGTGCCTCACATGTGCTAGGCGAGACTCTACCACTGAGCTACAACCCCAGCCCTCCTTGAATACATTTTGAACTTCCCCCTCCAAGCCATGGCATACTCTTGCATGGAAAGTTCTTCCCAAATCCCAAATTAAATGTCATTTCTGGCTGGGCATGGTGGTTCATGCCTGTAATCCCAGCAACTCAGGAGGCTAAAGTAGGAGGATCACAAGTTCACAGCCAGCCTCAGCAATTTAGCAAGGCCCTAAGCAACTTAGTGAGACCCTGTCTCAAAATGAAACATGAAAAGGGCTGGAGATGTGGCTCAGCAGTTAAGCACCCCTGGGTTTAATCCCTGGTACAAAAAAAAAAAAAAAAGGAAAAGAAAAGAAAGAACTAATTATTTCTGTCAGGATTCTTTCCCTGGTACTTTTGGATTAGTTTAGTCACTACCTTCTTGTGGTCCACAGTATTGTGCACTGTCCCAACCTCTTCCCCTTCACGGTTCATAGCACATGGGATTGTTTCCTAAGGCTCTTGCCCACAGAGTGTAAGCTCTTTGGAAACAAAGGAACATGGTTATTTTATTTATCATTGTATCCCCAGCCACTACCAGAGCACTTAGCACAGAGCAGGTGCTTTTTAAGTATTTGGATGAATGAATCAATGAATGAAGGAAGGAATGAGTGAGTGAACAAACTAATGAACCAGTGACTACTATGTGCTATACTTAGGGAAGAATTTAAAAACTGGTGATCCACATACATGTTTTGTTAATTCCATATAATTTGTTTTGTTTTGTTTTAGTCATATGTTGTTTACAAAATAAGCAGGGGTCTACATTTAAAAATTGATGGTCTGGGGATATAGCCCTGTGATAGAATGCTTGCCTAGGACATGCAAGGCCTACTACACACACACACACACACACACACACACACACACACACACATATTATCCTAAGAAGCCAAATCATTTTGTTGTTGTTGTTGTTATTTTGTTTTTGTTTTCCCCCCAGTGCTGGGGATTGAATCAGGGCCTTGTACATGTAGTCAAATGCTCTACCTCTGAACTACAACTGTCTCTCTCGTGATAATTTAAAATGGTTTGACATCTCTAGACCTGCATGGCTACTTGGTAACAATTATTTGGTGCTGAGCTACACCTATTGATGGGACATTCATTTTCCAAGTTGTCATAGTCCTTGCTTCTCCATTCTAGGCATTTGAATCTCTACTCCTTGCACTAGGAAATCCAAGGCAAATTGAATCTCTTCTAGTAGAATGCTTGCCTAGCATGCCCAAGACCCTGATTTTGATGCTCAGGACTGGAGGAAAAAATGCAAGTCATTTTCAGCCATCAAGGAACTCACTTTTTAATTTTATCTTATTTTGTTTTGTTCTGTTTGTGATGTGGGAATAAAACTCAGGGCTAGGCAGGCATTCTACCACTAAGTTCATACCCAGCCCAAAGTTACACCTTGCCACCTGTTACTAGCTTTGTGGTCCTGGCTAAACCATCTGGACCTCAGAGTACAATGTAGTGTGGATATAATTTGCTTCTGTTGGCCACCATAATGATCCAAAAAGATGGTGCCTTGGAACATCCTAGGAAATGGTTTTCTAACTAAAACAACTAATAGGGCTCTGGTTGTAGCTCAATGGTAAAGTACTTGCCTAACATGTATGAGGCACTGGGTTCAATCCTTAGCACCACATAAAAATAAATAAATAAAATAATGGCATTGTATCCATCTACAACTAATAAGTTTTTTTTAAATATTTATCTTTTAGTTGTAATTGGACACAATACCTTTATTTCACTTATTTATTTTTATGTGGTGCTGAGGATTGAACCCAGGGTCTTGCACGAGCGAGGCAAGTGCTCTACCGCTAAGCCCCAGCCCACTAATAAGATTTTTTTTTAAATAAAATAAAACAACTAATAGGTCAGGTGTTATTTTTCAGTGAACTTGGTTTAGCCAAAATCAGCTAGTTATAGTAAGAGACACCCACTTAAAAAGAGAGAGAAAAGGAGAAATTTATAAAGATATCAGAGATGTTTTGCAGAATCCAGGGGCAGGAAGCACATCTCCTCATGAGAGAGTGGAAACAGTGAATCTGCTGGCCCATTTAGATTAACTGGCTACCTCTTATTCAGTCAACTGAGACTAGAAAGTCAAAGTGATACAGACATTTTGTCTGGGCTCTACCCATGTGGTTAGAAGGGAGAATGAGGATAGTTTCCATAGACTAGGGCATATGGACAGGCAGATAGCCCCAAAGTGTCTATTATCAATCATCTCATAGGTTGACCCCATTCCCTTAAGTGACTTAATAGTTGTTCATTTATGCTATTGGTCTTTTTTTTTTTTTTAACTACCCTCCCCAAATTTGCCAACCAACATAAGCATTTGACAGCCCCAATTGAGGAACTGAGTGAAATGTTTTCTAGGGACACACCAGTGGGACTTAGCTACCTATGGGGGCCTCTTGCCGCGGTACGAACATGCCAGCTTCATTCCTTCCTGCACACCTGGCAGCATCTGGGTATTTGGAGGGGCTGACCAGTCAGGAAATCGAAATTGTCTCCAAGTCCTAAATCTTGGTAAGTAGCCAAAGGTTGGTTTATTTTCATCTTGCACACATAATTTCAGTATGTTTGGATTGAACTAATTAATTCATTTAACTTTTCTGACCTCATAAAAAACATGAATTTATCAACTCCTTAAATATCCAAGCTGGAAAGGACTTCAGAGAACACCTATGCCAGTGGGCAGCTCAGATCCAAGGAGAGGGATGTGACTTTCCTAAAGTTACCAGGGAGTCAGTAACTGAGCCAGGATAGAACCCAGGTTACCTAGATCAGTTGTTCTCTAGTGAGGACTTTTATGTCCCACAAGTGAGATCAGGCAATATCTGGAAACATTTTTGGTTTTCACAGCTGGGGTCAGGGTAGCTATGGGCATCAGGTGGTTAGAGCTCAGAGATGCTGCTTTATGTCCTGTGAGGCACAGGACTGCTCTAAAATGCCAGTCAATACCAAAGGTAAGATACTCTGCCTCAGGTCTTGTTAGTGTTTCTTTAAGCCAAAACTGGCTGATCCCTTTCCAGTCTCACTAGTAGTTGTATCAAAGGAAAAGCAATTTGAGAGCATCACTCCCAGGAGGAGGTTGCTGAACTACTTGTGGGAGGTGGACTTGTCTTTTTGTCATTTTTAAAATTTTGCTTTTTTCTTTATGAATATTATTGACAAGCTGGATGTGGTGGCACATGACCAATCTCAGCTACTTAGGAAGCTAAGGCAGGAAGATTGCAAGTTTGAGTCCAGCCTCGGCAATTTAGAAAAACCCTGTCTCAAAAAATAAAATAAAAAGGGTTTGGTATGTATCCCAGTGGTAGAACACTTGCCTAGCATGAGACAGTCTCTGGTTTAATCCCTAGCACCAAACACACAAACAAACAACAAAAAACACTAATCAGGATATGCTCTGCTGGGCACTAACCATGACCTTGAGCTAGTGATTTAACTTCTTTCTACCTCAGATTTCTTTTGTGTCACACTAGGATAGAAATGTTTCATCCCTTGTTAATTTGACAAGGGTTCAAATTAATTTGATATCTGGCAAAGACTTAACTTTCAATATTTGTTAGTTGTTGTGGTTAATGTAGGTATGCTTTGGAAAATGGAAATCAGTTCTGGACCTACCCTTTTGATTCTTGGTGACAGCATTCTTTAAATAAAATACAGTGAGCCAGGCACGGTCGAACACATCTTATAATCCCAGAGACTTGGGAGGTTGAGGCAAGAGGGTCTCAAGTTTGAAGTCAGCCTCAACAAATTAGTGAGGCTCAACATAAAAAATGTTTAAAAAGACTGGGTGTGGCTCAATGGTTAAGTGTCCTTGGATTCAATCCCTGGTAGCAAAAATACAAAAGCAAAACACAGTGAAACTTTGGAAAGCTTCTACAAAGGAATTGATTTTCTCACTGTATCCCTTTTTATCCTGGAAAGTATAATTGACACAGTGCCCAAGAAATATGGAAAATGTGAGTCATTAGTTGCTTTTATTACCAGAGCAAGCCCTTCAAATGGCTTAAGACTCCTTTGTGGTTGTGTTGATGTTTGACTTCTGCACCTTCTAACTCCAAGTCCCAAAAGCTGTCCAACATCTGTAGCTACCAAGACGATTATATTTTGCTTTGAATGTGGGTTGGGATTTGTTCAGTCTCCAAGTTCATGTTTGAGTTCCACACATATTGCAGATGCTTTGTGCAGCATTTTGCATATTGGATGCAGGCCTTTTACAAAAGGCATAGAATTTTCCAGGCAAGAAATAATCCTTAGGCTGGATGCAGTGGCACATGCCTGTAATCCTAGTGGCCCAGTAGACTAAGGAAGGAGGATTGCAAGTTCAAAGCCAGCCTCAGCAACTTAGTGAAATTTTGAGATAGGGTCTCATTAAGTCTGTCTCAAAATAAAAAATAAGCTGGGTGCAGTGGCACATGCCTGTAATCCCAGGGTACCAGGGATTGAACTCAGGGGCATTTAACCACCGAGCCACATGAGGCTGAGATAGGAGAATCATATGTTCAAAGCCAGCCTCAACAAATGTGAGGTGCTAAGCAATTCAGTGAGACCCTATCTCTAAATTTAAGAAAATACAAAATAGGGCCGGGAATGGTTGAATGCCCCTGAGTTCAATCCCTGGTACTAAAAATAAAAATAAATAAATAAAAAAGGAAAAGTTACCAAAAAAAAAGGAACAGAACTAATCCTTGAGATGTTGTGGTGGAGCAAGTATGGGACAGAGATGAGTTCACGCTCCTTCTCTGCTTCTCAGATGTGCTATGACCTGGGGGACAGGATTTTAAGTTTCTGAGCTTCAGTTTCCTCGTTCCAAAATGGAAATATTTTTTACCCACCTCCAAGAGGTGAGTGAGGATGTTGAGAGTGGCAGAATATTCAGGGCAATGATCTTACGCACAGAAGCTGTTCAGTTGATACGTCTGTTTCTATGTATCTACGAGGTGGCAAGCTTTTATTCTCAAGTCAGAAGAGGAGAATAATCATAGATTCTAGTGTTATTGAAACAGAGTTTAAATCCCAACTCCGCCATTTACTAGCCTGGTCACTGTAAATAAAAGTGACTTAATGTATCTCTGCTTAAATTCCCTTCTCTGTAAAAGGGGAAATCTAACATTTATTTAGTACTTCGTTTGTGTGTGCATGCGCATGCCACCTAGGGATGCATTACCATGATCTACATCCTCAGCCATTTTTAAAGTTTTTTTGTTATTGTTTTGCTTTTTTAAATTTTGAGATAGGGTCTCATTAAGTTGGCCTGGCTGACCTCAAATCTGCTGGCCTCCTGCTTCAGCCTCCTAAGTCTCTGAGATTTCAGGTGTGTACCACTGCACTGCTTTATTATTTTGTAGAGACTCTTATTATTGGCACTGAAACTGTAATAATATTGTCTGCTTTCATTTAATGGCTACACTTTCTGGGAAATTTGGCACATTTGGACTCTGGCATCTAGTTGGAATGAATTTTAGCAAATTTTGAGCTCCTCTGAATGAACAGGGTAGTCAACAAAGTGTATAATATAAAGAGGATATTGAGGGGATTTGTTTGTTTGTTTTCTTTTGGTATTGGATATTGAACTAGGGGCATTGTATAACTAAGCTACATCCCCAGTACTTTTTATTCTTTATTTTGAGACAGAGTCTCATGAAATTCTTGAGGTTGATCTCGAACTTATGGTTTTCCTGCCTTAACCTTCCAGGTAGCTGGGATTATTGGTGCATGCCACTGTGTGTGGCTTACTTCATTCTTTTTTTTTTTTTTTTTTTTCCCATGGGGATGGGGTACCAGGGATTGAAATCAGGAGCACTTAACCACTGAGCCACATCCCCAGCCCTATTTTGTATGTCATTTAGAAACAGGATCTCAATGAGTTGCTTAGCACCTCACTGTTGCAGAGGCTGGCTTTGAACTCAAGATCCTCCTGCCTCAGCCTCCCAAGCTGCTGGGATTACAGTTGTGCACCACGGTGCTCAGCTAAATTTCAGCTTCTTACCTAAAACTCAGCTGTCCTTCTCAAGGATCAGGGTAATAAAGTGACCCTGCCTAGCCCTACCAAGATTGGAGGTCAAGGACTGAGGCTGTAGATCAGTGACAGAGTGCATGCCTAGCATGCACAAGACCCTGGGTTCAGTCACTAGCACCCCCACACACACACACAAAAGGAGTAAGGGTCAGAGGTCCCCTTGGCCTGGATGTTTTAGAACCCTGCCTTCTCTCCGGACCAGAAACCAGGATTTGGAGGACGCCAGAAGTGACCGGCCCCCCACCGTCTCCAAGAACATTCCACACATCATCAGCAGCTATTGGAAACCAGCTCTATGTCTTTGGGGGTGGAGAGAGAGGTGCCCAGCCTGTGCAGGATATGAAGCTGCATGTGTTTGACGCAAGTATGGAGTATCAGGGATATCATTTAACCTGCTCAGGGTTATGTTGGCTGGTAGTTTACCTAATGTATAGGAAGCAAATATTGGAAAGTGAAATTGTAGCCAAATATTTCACTTCTAGACTTTTTTGCTGATATGTATTTTTTTCTTGTAGCAACATTTGCTTTGAAAAGATATCCATGATCAATTTTTAAAAATTAAACAGTAAACTTCATAAAGTAGAAAAGTAAACGTTCCCTCTTCAGCCTATCCTTACTACTCTTTAGATAAGTAAATGATATTAGCAATTTCTTATCTCTCCTTTCAGACTTACCTACGCATTTATAAATCATACAGGTTTGTGTATAGGTGCATATATAAATATTCTGTGAATTTTTAAATCATATAAAAAAACTTTAAAAACACATACATGAAATCAGATTATATACACTTTTCTGCAGCTTATATTCATTTATCTATCTTATCTATTTTCTGGCACTGGGAATTGAAGGCAGGGCACTTTACCACTGAGCTACACTCCAGTTTTATTTATTTTTTATTTTGAGACAGAGTCTCTCTAAGTTGCTTAGGGCCTCCCTAAAGTGCTGAGGTTGGCCTTGAACTTGAGATCCTCCTGCCTCAGCCTTCTAAATCACTGGGATTACAAGCATGCTCCCCCACACCAAGAAGTACACCTTTCTTTTAGAGTAGGAGTAGGTTTTTAGTAATTGAAAGTATACACTTCTAAACCATACAACTGGGATCAAGACCAGATCTGATACATGGTTTCTTTGTTACTTTAGGCTAGTGACTTAATCTCTGTTAGCCTTAGTTTGCTTACTTGTTAAATAGAGAAAATAGTAGTGCTCACCACACACACACAAAAAAAAAAAAATTTTTTTTTTTTTTTTAATTCCGTGGATTAAACCCAGGAGCACTAAACCATGGAGCCACATCCCCAGCCCTTTTTTTATATTTTCTTTAGAGACAGGGTCTCGCTAAGTTGCTCAGGCCCTTGCTAAATTGCTGAGGCTGGCTTTGAACTTGCAATCCCTCTCCTCAGCCTCCCCAACCACTGGCATTACAGGAATGTGCCACTGCTCCTGATCTTTTTAGTTTTGTTTTTTTTTTTTTTTTGAGACAGTCTTACTAAATTGTTGAAGGTCTTGCTAAATTACTGAGGCTGGACTCAAACTTGTGATCCTCCTGCCTCAGTCTCCCAAGTCATGCATCACCATGCCCAGTAAGAGGTTGTAAAGATTATTTTTTTTTAAAAAAAGAGAGAGATTAAATGAGATAATATGATAAAGTTCCTGAGACATAAAAAGTACCTAATAAATATTAACTATATTTATATTATTATTGTTATTATTTCTTCATTTAATTATACTTTATGAATAGCTTGCTAAGTCAGTACCAATTTCCATGCAAAGCATATCCTTCTATGTGTATCTTATTCATTGATTTTCTTACTGATTAGCTTTTTGCTGACATTGGAACAATGAACATTTGTATATATTAATCTTTGTATGTATATATTAATTTATACAAACATATAGAAGAGATGCACTATGTATACTATCTCATTTAATTCATACCTCAACTCTAAGAAGTAGGTATTGTCTCTCTCCCCATTTTGTACACCCATAGAAACTAAATCCTTCCCAGGTGCTGTGGCACAAGCTTATAATCCCAGTTTCTCAGGAGGCTGAGGCAGGAGGATCACAAGTTCCAGGCCAGCCTCAGCAATTTACCAAGACCCTGAGCAACTTAGTGAGACCCTGTCTCAAAAAATAAAAAGGGGTCTGGGGTTGTGGCTCAGCAGTAGAGTACTTGTCTAGCACATGCAAGGCCCTAGGTTCGATTCTCAGCACCATATAAAAATAAAATAAAGATATTGGGTCCAACTACAACTAAATAAACAAAATATTTTAATAAATAAATAAATAGGGCTGGGAATAGCCAGGTGCATGGCACACATGTGTAATCCCAGCAGTTCAGGAGGCTGAGGCAGGAGGGTCACAATTCAAGCAACTTCGCAAAACCTTGTCTCAAAATAAAAATATATATATAAAGTGCTGGGGATGTAGCTCAGCGTTGAATGCCTCTGGGTTCAATCCATGGTACCCCCCAAAAAAGGGGGGGCAAGAGAGAATGTAGCTCATTGGTAAAAGCACCTCTAGATTCAATTCTCAGTACCAAGAAAATAAATTAAAAATCTTGTCACAGAAGAAGTGTATTTGTTCATTTTAACTTTCATGAAGTTCTAGGTTGAAACTTAAGAGATCATTTCAATTCAAAAGAAGAAATAGGGGCTGGGGTTGTGGCTCAATGGTAGAGCATTCACCTAGCATACATGAGGCACTGGGTTCGATCCTCAGCATCATATAAAAATAAAATAAGGGTATTGTGTTCATCTCCACCTGAAAAACAAAAGTGTGTGTTTATATATATACATACATATATATATAAAATAAGAAATGGTCTCCTAATGCCCCAGAGAAGGGGCAGGCATGTTAGGTAGTGTGCTCTCCAGCCCTCGGAGCATCCAAGCAGAGGCTGTGCAGGCTGTAGTGTGAGGGAGATCTGAATGGATTTGTCTCTAAGAAGGATGCTTCCTGCTTAGAGCATCTCTGCTTGCTGGGAGGTGATAAAGAAGCTTGGATGTGTTGCTCTCGTTCTTGCTTCATAGCTTTGCCACTTGATGTCAATGAATTTACTTTCTAGATACTCTGACCTGGTCACAGCCAGAGACATTTGGAAGTCCTCCATCTCCCCGGCATGGTCATATGATGGTGGCAGCAGGGACAAAGCTTTTCATCCATGGAGGCTTGGCAGGGGACAAATTCTTTGATGATTTCCATTGCATCGATACAAGTAAGTAGGGTAGAGTGTGTGGAGGCTTGTCTGTGGTACTGGGATTGAACCCCTTAGTGGGGCACATTAACTACATCTCAGACCTTTAGATAGACCTTAAGATAGGGTCTTAGGGCTGGGATTGTGGCTCAGTGGTAGAGCACTCACCTAGTACAGGTGAGACCCGGGTTCTATCCTCAGCACAAAAAATAAAGGCATTGTGTTGTGTCTAAAAAATAAATAACATCAAAAAAAAAAAAAAAAGACAGGGTCTTGGTAAGTTAGTTGCCCTGGCTGACCTAGAAATTGTGATCCTCCTGTCTCAGCCTCCCAAGTAGCTGGGTTTATAAACATGCTTCCTCACATCTGGCTGCTTAACATGTTATTTCCTAAAAGAAGCTGGGTACAGTGGTGGACTCCTATAATCCCAGCTTTTCCAGAGGCTGAGGTAGAAGGATACTTGTAAGATCAAGGATAGCCCTGGGCAAATTAGTGAGGCCCTGTCTCAAATTAAAAAGGGATGGCGATCCAGCTCAGTGGTAGAGTACTTGCCTAGCATGCGCAAGTCCCTGGGTCCAATCCCCTGTACCACCAAAAAAAAAAAAAAGTGTGTGTGTGTGTTCTTTATTAGATGTTCTTTTCTGTTTCGTTTTTTGGTAATGGGGATTGAACCAGGGGTGCTTAATCACTGAGCTCCCCAACCTCTTATATTTTTTATTTTTGAGACAGGGCCTCTCTAAGTTGCTGAGGCTGGCCTCGAACTTTCGATCCTCCTGCCTCAGGCTCCCCAGTCCTTGGGATTACAAGCATGCACCATTGTGCTCTGCTCATTATGCTTTGTGCTCTACAACTGGATTTCTTTCAGGCATTAGCCACACCAGACCAGGATAACATTTAGGATGTGTCTGAAGGTAAAAGACCAGAATTACATGTTTCTCAGGCTAAACATTTGAAAACACAGGAAGAGGAAAGTTAGAACATGAGAATTGTCTCTAAGTAGCTTACATGCACTGACAGGCCCTGGAGAGCCTGGTCTCCTTCTGGATTATTCCTTTGGGTTCTAGCTCCTTTTGGGCAGGGACTCATCTCTTGTTTGCTGGTGTATTTCTAGCACTTAGCACAGTGTCTGGAACATTCTAAGTGATGAAATACACATCTGTTTATGAGTGGGTAGATTAATAAATGAACAGTTGTACATTACTCTAGACTCAAGAACAATGGAACAATGGGCAAAAGGCATGGGAACTCCTGTGCAGACTTCCTTACCAAGCACTGGGTTCTTTGAAGCCTGGGGATGCTGACTGGGATTCTAACATTGGCTAGAATTGTGACCCCAAATACTTGGCCCCCTTCACACTGACAGGTGGAAACAGATATTCATTCTTTTTTTTTTTAACCTTTGTTTATTTAAAATAATTTTTTTTTAGTGGTGCTGGAGATCAAATTGAACCTAGTGCCTCATGAGTGCTAGGCAAGCACTCTACCACTGAGCCACAATCCTAGAACATGATCTTCATTCTTTACAAGAAGCATTCCTTGCAGGTGGTCCCATGGGGTTTTTATGCTTATTTTTCAAAAGGAAGTCCTTTTCTCTTGTGCTGAAGGACTACTTCCTGTCTGTTTTTCCTGCCTACCCAAATAGTTCTCTTAAACCTAAAATCTAATAATATCCTGCCTCATGTAAATGCTTCTTAAATTCTTGTTTAAAAGATTCAAATTAGCTGGGAAAGGTGGGGCACACCTGTAATTCCAGCGGCTTGGGAGGCTGAAGCAGGAGGATCACAAGTTCAAAGCCAGCCTCAGCAATTTAGCAAGGCCCTAAGCAATTTAGTGAGACCTGTCTCAAAATAAATAAAATAAAAAGGACTGGGGATGTAGCACAGAGGTAGAGCACCCTTGGGCTCCCCAGTACCAAAAAAAAAAAAAAAAAAGTTTTGGAAATAGATGCTAAGGAAGGCAGCAAGTTGTAGAGAACTCAGGTTTTGGAGCAGGACCTCAGTCTAGCTCTGCCACTTACAAGCTGTGGGATCTCAAGCAAGCCTCTTTCCCTCTCTAATAATCCCCTTGTGCTCATCTGTAAGAAAGTGGTAGGCTGGGGTGGGGATATAGCTCAGTTTGTAAAGTGTTTGCCTCACATGTGCAAGAGGCCCTGGATTCAATCCCCAGCACCACACACACACACACACACAAAAGGGGAGGTGGGGGGTAGGCACAAATAATAGCAATTCACAGAGCTTGTATGAGAATTAAGTGAAGGAGATATTGAAAGTAGCCAGCCAGTGCTTACAAAGTTGCTTTCTGAATAACTTGGTATTTAAAATACAACTTACCTGCTTCTGGGCAGTTAATGGTGTGAACAAAGGTGATAATCACTAAATAAGGCTGTATCACATTTCTCAGTGTGCTTCATCAGAATCCTCTAGGTTAATTGTGTTTCCCCTCCCTCCCTGGACTACCCATTCAAGCCCCACCTCCAAGTAATTCTTATGCACACTAGACCTTGCTCTGTCACCTCTCTAGAGTTCCAAGTGAATGACTTTGAGTGATTGATTTGCAAACTGCATTAGATAACTTTGAAACCACATTTTAGCCTGTAGAGTGCTAACTCTTTCTCTCTGCAGGTGACATGAAGTGGCAGAAGCTCAGTCCCACAGGGGTGGCCCCAGCAGGCTGTGCTGCCCACTCAGCTGTGACTTTGGGAAAACATATATATGTCTTTGGAGGAATGACTCCCACCGGAGCACTGGACAAAATGTACCAGTATCACATAGGTGAGTGGTGCAAACGTGTTTTGCAAAGTGACATAATGCCTTGGTTTTTCAATTTGGTTCCTCCATGTCTAAATCCAAAGGAATGAAAATTGAACTTACAGGGAATGACATCATTAAAGCAGTAACACTGCCTTTTGGGTTTGTTTTCCCTCACTCAGCTGATGCAGTAAATCAGAGAACATCTCTTGAAATTTCATAACATGGGGGCTGGGGATGTGGCTCAAGCGGTAGCGTGCTCGCCTGGCATGCGTGCGGCCCGGGTTCGATCCTCAGCACCACATACAAACAAAGATGTTGTGTCCGCCAAGAACTAAAATAAATAAATAAATATTAAAAAAAAAAAAAGAAATTTCATAACATGCGCCTTTGTTCTTTACCCCTGCCAGAAAAACAGCTATGGTCTCTGCTTAAATTTGATACTTTGCTGCCCCCTGGACGTTTGGACCATTCCATGTGTATTATTCCATGGCCAGTGACATCTATTTCTGAGAAAGAAGACTCAAATTCTGTTACCCTAAACTATGAAACTGAGAAAGGGGATTCCACCGACAGAGTGGCACCATGTGGCAGCACACCTGAGGAAAGCCAGAGTGACATACTTCTATGTTTTGTGTTTGGTGGGATGAATACAGAAGGGGAAATCTATAATGATTGTATTGTGACTGTAATTGACTAAAAAAAAAAAAAGAAAATATTGTTACTTTCATTAAAGTTAAGAGAAACTGTAACTGTTTTCTGCTTCCAAATTTTTTCTGCAAAATATATCCATCTTACTTTGGTAGGTAATGACTTGACAGCCCAGTGCAAAAAATTCTATTGTAAAAATGGTTTTACCAGCAACCAAACCTAGGTAAAAGTGGGCCATGGTGGGGAATGTCTGTAATCCCTGCAATTTTGAACTCCTAGGAGGTTCAAAAGTTTGAGGCCAGCCTGGGCAACTCAGTGAGACCCCGTCTCAAAATAAAGGGCTGAGGATGTATGTAGTAGCTTAGTGGTAGAGTACCCCAAGGTTTAATCCTCAGTCCTGGGGGGAGGACCCTAAGTAAAGACAAGTCATAGGTATTAGAGTGGACATTTGCCAGTTGAAAGTTCTTGTTAATATTCATTAGTTGATCCTCATAAAGAGGTGCAGACTATTTGATAGTAGTAATAGCCTGTGGGGACAGTTCACTATTTTTTGTTTTAAATATTTTTTTTCAGTTGTAGGTAGACACAATACCTTTATTTTGTTTATATGTGGTGCCGAGGATAGAAATCTTGCAAGTACTAGAAGAGTGCTCTAACCCTGAGCCACAACCCGGGCCCAACAGGTCACTTTTTTTTTTTTTTTTTTAACATTTGCTGGGGCTTGGCCTGCAGACCTTATTACACTACAGGCCTACCCAAATGCTTCTGAGGAAGTGCAGAAGTCTAAGCTTTAGTATTCAGAAAAATTTGGTGTTGGGTCCCCATCCTTAAAAAATTAACCTTTCAGCTGGTTGCCCATCACAAAATACTTTTTCCTTGGACAGTGCAGGATTTCATGTTAGCACCAGACAATAAAGACCTTTATTGAGTTTTACTAGTCATCTACCTACATATCACTTTGCTCAAAATGCCAATCCAAATAGTCCTAAGATATGTCACATCCAATACCTTTGTCTTACAAATGGGATAGTTTAATATAGTATTAAGGCCACCATCTAGATGCCACCCTACTACCACTGAGAAATTTCAGGGAGGATTCTACTGTAGCTGGAGCTTAAAAAGTCCTCCTTTTTTACCTTTTTAAAATTATAAAATGGATCCAGGGGTGGGGGGATAGTAGAGGATAGGAAAGGCAGCAGAACACAACAGACACTAGTATGGCAATATGTAAATCAATGGATGTGTAACTGATGTGATTCTGCAATCTGTATATGGGGTAAAAATGGGAGTTCATAACCCACTTGAATCAAAGTGTGAAATATGATATCAAGAACTATGTAATGTTTTGAACAACCAACAATAAAACATTAAAAAAAAAATAAAAAATTAAAAAATAAAATAAAATGAATCCAGCTAAGCGGCAGTGTGTGCTGGGCAAGTGCAAAGCCTTGGATTTGATCCCCAGTAATCCAAAAAAAAATTTAAAAAATGAAAATCTAAGTGTATATAAAAGTTAATATCAGTGATCAGGCCCCATTTTTTGTGTGTGTGCAGGGGAGGGGGTGTGTGCAATTAAGTCTTTTTAAATTGAAAAATCTAATGAAAATTCCATCAATTCTTAGAAGAGAATCCAGCCAGGCACAGTGGCCTGCCCTTGTAATCCCAGCAACTAGAGCTGGGGCAGGAAGATTGCAAACTTTGAAACTAGCTGGGCAATTTAGGAAGACCCTGTCTAAATATAAAGGGCTAGGATACAGCTCACTGTACAGCCCCTGAGTTCAGAGGGATGAAAAAAAGAAAAAAAAAAAAAAGATAACCTAAGCAGCTACAAGCATCATTTATAGTAAGCATCATTTATAGTAAGTTTTAAGAAGGGGAAGTAGGAAATTTTAATTATATTCAAGAAAACTCCACTCTTGGCCTCTGAAATGGCCCTTGACTAGGTAAGGATACAGTGAACCTCCTCACCTTTTCTTAGATGAATATTTCCAGGGAATTTGTCTAGTTTAAACAGAAATGTTTCCTTATTTCAACATTTCAAATAACCTCAAACCAAGTACACACAAATGAGAACCTTAAATTGGAATGTTTTATCTAATTAGAAGCTTTTCACAAAAATTAGACCAGTGTAAATAACAAACATTTATTGGTGTCACTTATGGTAGAAAAAAGTTCCTACACCAGATGTGCATGACCCAATTGTTAAATAGAACATTTCTGAGGTGAACACACATCCTGACCCACATTTTTATATCCAGTTTTTAAGATAGCCAATTCCTCCTCTCCCCCCACCCCAAAACATGTGAGCAACTGCTAATGAAAAGCAGTAAACAGCCACTTGGGCTATAGCATTTTCAACTCCACTCTGAGGTGAAGATTCCAATTACATTCGAGACTTAAGTTCTCTCAATTTTCTCCTAACGAAAGTTCCTGAGTCCAGTATTTACAATATTACAGCACTAGCAGATCAGTGTCTACAACTCATCTCTTTCTGATGTATCCTCTTCACCTGTCGGGGGAGGGCCTGCACTTCCATAGAGTTTGCTGATAATTGGCTGAACAATTTCTTCTAGTTCCTTCTTTTTAGCTTTGAAGTCTTCAATGTCAGCATCTTGGTGGCTTTCCAGCCATTCAATTTTTTCCTCTACAGCTTTTTCCATGGTCTCCTTATCTTCAGAGGAAAGTTTGCCTCCCAACTTTTCTTTATCTCCAATCTGATTCTTTAGAGAATAGGCATAGCTTTCCAACTCATTCCTGGTATCAATGCGCTCCTTGAGTCTTTTGTCTTCCTCAGCAAACTTCTCAGCATCATTAACCATCCTTTCGATTTCTTCAGGTGTCAAGCGATTTTGATCATTGGTAATTGTGATCTTATTTTTGTTCCCTGTACCCTTGTCTTCAGCTGTCACCCGAAGAATACCATTCACATCTATCTCAAAAGTGACTTCAATCTGGGGGACCCCACGGGGAGCAGGAGGAATTCCAGTGAGATCAAATGTACCCAGAAGGTGGTTGTCTTTTGTCAGGGGTCGTTCACCTAGAAGTTACACACAGAAAAAGTTGTTACTGACAACTCTGGATCCCTACATTTCAGTCTATTAGAACACATAATGGGGCAAGGGCACTTAAAACCAAAAGTTTTATTGGTCTACTGAAGACAGCAACTGGGTGACACTATTACTAACCCTTAACTAAATTTCACCTGTTTTCAAGTGAAAACTCGCTTTTGTTCTTATATTCTAGAAGCCAGCTCAGAAGTTATTTCTAATGGGAAAGAGTGCTAAATAAGTACTGAATATATGACACTCAGCATCAAATTAAGGACCTCCTCCCCCATCTTGAAAACAGCAGCTTCTCCTTTACCTAGCCATTTTTATAGTGTATATTAAACAAGGAGTCACATTCTTTTAAAGCACACCACAATAGTAACAAATGTAAGTAATTACCTTCATAGACCTTGATTGTAACAGTAGGTTGATTATCAGAAGCTGTAGAAAAGATCTGAGACTTCTTAGTGGGTACCACAGTGTTCCTTGGTATCAGTTTGGTCATGACACCTCCCACAGTTTCAATACCAAGTGTCAGGGGACATACATCAAGCAGTACTAGGTCACCTGCAAAGGTAAATTAATCAAGGTAAGTTCTGATTCAAGAACACTACAAGCAATCTCTCCACAAACTTTTAAAAATTTATTTTTCTGTTTTGTCATTTGTTTAGGTTCTAGGCATAAACAATTTAGGATAAATGAATTACACAGTTGTTGCTAAGAATCTTAAGACTGCACTAGGACTTGTCTTCACTATACCTTTACTAGCTGGGTAAATTTGTAGCTTACACTTCTGTTGTTTTATAAAGCAATTGCTAATTATATTCTTCCTATCAAACTACCAAAGCTTTGTAACCTACCTGTATCTTGATCACCAGAGAGTACACCAGCCTGGACAGCAGCACCATATGCAACAGCTTCATCTGGGTTTATGCCACGGGATGGCTCCTTGCCATTGAAAAACTCTTTAACAAGTTGCTGAATCTTTGGAATTCGAGTAGAGCCACCAACAAGAACAATCTCATCAATATCAGACTTCTTCAAGTCAGAATCCTCCAGTACTTTCTGAACAGGCTTCATGGTAGACCGGAACAGGTCCTAAAATAAGAGACATGGTTATTGTGATGCCTGTTATACCTAGATATTGGACACATTATCTTAAATTCAGAGAGGCTAAATACATCTAATTAGCAAAGCAGAAAACAAGGAACACACCATATTTAGCTCTTCAAATTTGGCCCGAGTCAAGGTTTCAGAAAAGTCTTCTCCTTCATAGAAGGACTCAATTTCAATTCTTGCTTGATGTTGAGAAGACAGGGCCCGCTTGGCCTTTTCTACTTCACGCCGGAGTTTCTGCACAGCTCTGTTGTCTTTCCTAACATCTTTGCCAGTCTTCTTTTTGTACAGCTTGATGAAGTGTTCCATAACACGCTGGTCAAAGTCTTCTCCACCCAGATGAGTATCTCCATTAGTGGCCACGACTTCGAAGACACCATTGTCAATGGTGAGAAGAGACACATCGAAGGTTCCACCACCCAAATCAAACACTAGGATGTTCTTCTCTCCCTCCCTCTTATCCAGGCCATAAGCAATAGCAGCTGCTGTACTGTTTGAATGAAAAAGGGGGAAAATGCTTAGTCAGGTTCAAGTTTCCCCTATTGGCAAATATGCCATATCCTTGAATTTGATACTTACGGCTCATTGATGATCCTCATAACATTCAGGCCAGCAATAGTTCCAGCATCTTTGGTTGCTTGCCGCTGGGCATCATTAAAATAGGCTGGTACAGTAACAACTGCATGGGTAACCTAAAAGAATATCAAAAGAAAGTAAGTGTATTATTATACATGGTTTAACCCTTATTTAAATTAGTCAAACTACCACTCTAGTATCTATGCCAGTTTACTGGTAGGAAGAGTATATTATATACAACTTTATATCCAAGAAATTGCATGCATGAAATGATAACACATGAAAAGTATCTGGCCATTTTGTTTGGCCTATGGTCAAGCATTAAAAAAGTAAACCTGACAAACATGGATGTCATTCAGATT